ATAAAGCTAAATGACAATAAAGGGAGAATGTGCTGTGCTTGGCATCCTTAAAAACCACCCTAAATACTGTAACATGTGTTGTCATTGTTTATTCAGCTCTGTAATGATTGGCAAATGTTGTAGAACAAGGTGGTGGCATGTCTGATGGAATGCAATCAGTACACAAAATGTTGCTCACAGAGCACAGCGGTTGCACACAGTGACCTTGGCGATGTCCATGGAGAGGGCCAAACATGCCCAGTCACTGTGCGGCTAATGAGTGAGTGCACTGCTCAGCTTTATCTTCTTAATTAATGACTTAGACGTGACTCGTGTGTTCCTCCTGGATAGTTGCGCATCAGCTCCGCAGGGAACTGCAGCGACTCACGAGGCAGCATCATTCTGAAACAAAAAGCAATCATCAGGTGAGAGGTTGTGAATTGTTAACATATAAATGTTTGCTCATTAAAGTGTACATTTATGATTTGATTAATTTTTGGGTTTTATTAGTAGATTTGCATCTTTGCATGTGGTTCATAAGGATTCACATTTCCCAATTAATCGAAACAGGGCTTGTAAACAAACATCAAAATGGACTCATTACAATCTTCTTTATTAACAACTGTAAATGTTGTATTAGGTTTGAGCTCGCTGGTATTGCAGTAATTTTGTCTTTTTATGTTTAAGGTCCCATGTCATGCTTTTCTGCTTATTACCCGTCCCGTGTGTTATGTAAACGGTCTGCAACGCCTCGTTGTATGGTGACGTAACCATGCCCAGGTCGAAATGGACCAATCCCGTTTAGGACAGAGAGTGAATACACATACTACACAGAGATGCTATATGAGAAAACCAATGTGATTTTGGAACATTGAACAATGTAATTCTATTCTAGTAGACCTCAACAATGGAATTATGATCAGTAGAAATGGCCATGACATGGGACCTTTAAGTATATTGTATGTAGCATTGTTGGAGGAGCCTGAGACTTCGGTTTTCTATCGCCAACAACCACTTTTTAGCTGTGTGATCACAATTTTATGTTAAACTTGTTATTATTGTGTTCACATCTTTCTTTCTTGATGTTGAAAAATGGAGCTACTGTGATACAAGAACAATGTCCGACTTGATCTGACAAAAAAGTATGAACGTACTCCTGCATTGAATACGATAAATAAAGCCTTTGAATCACTCTGAATTATTTGAACTGATATACAATTCCTGCCATTAATCACTAACGGTCATGGGGAAGATAAATGACTGTTTCCTTCAAGAAGTTACCGTCCTTCACCATCCCTTTCTAACAACTTTGGGATACATTCTTGTATGTTTTTAAAGCTTTATTCTGGTAGGATTAGGGTATGCAATGCAAGTGCATCGTCAAACCCTCAGTATATGTTATGAAGTGAATACAGAACAAGTGTTTTAGATTTGTTTTGTTTGCCATTTTGAGAGCAGAGAGTGACAGCAACACAGGATATGAAACTGGTTTCATCACAGTTATATCTCATACTGAAGGCCTTACGGGAGGCTCAGGGATTTGTTGATGTGTTTGTTTACAGGCTGCTAGACATTGTTTTCAAGAAAGTAAGGTACACCTTGTTATGACCTGCGCAAGCAACATATTGGGTCGGGTCACCAAAGATACACAGGGGGTTTCAAGCAGCCTGTCCTCCTACAAAAAACGACCATATAGGCAGGGATGCACAAAAACTTTGTCAGTGAGGTACTCAGATGAGTACCTGGAGTCAGTGTTTGGTACTCCAACTTCTGGCTCCACTCAAAGTTATTTGATGAAGCCCTCTGT